AACATTGGTGGCGATATTTTTAAGGGCTTTAAAACATATGCTTTTCTTTTCAGGATGGAACTCCACTGCAGGTATTTGTAGCCGAAGTTCTAAAACAAATCGTTGGCATTGCTGTGATCAGAAATGAAATGGTAAATTGTGAGATGGATATGAATTTCCTTGATTGTGCCTTTTATATTATAAATTAGCACACAGCGCCCCTTTTGAAGTTTTATTCTTACTTGTTTAATGAGAGGGTGCCTCCTTTTCCTGAAGGATATCTTCTTCTGCTTGCATCCCACTTGGCTACCTTTCAATTCTCCACTTTTTAAAAAATAATTTAAAATGTTTAAAATATCACAAAGAATACATGAGAATATTCTCATTCTAAAAATCCAAAGCCTTCCACCCCCAAAATTTAAAAAAAAAAAAAAAATTCCTTGCTCTCCCCGAAGGATTACTACTATAGTTAGGTATTTATCCTTTCCAGCATCCTTTTTTGCACTTAATCACATGTATCGTGGGGCGGGGGGGGGTTAAATGGACATGGCATTTTATTTTTTTCCCAATACACAGCCAGTTATTACAAAGTATTTATTACTGAGTAGTCTATTCTTTCCCTATGATTTCAAATGCTGCTTTTACATTTATTAAATTTCCATATGCCTATGTCTGTTTTTAAACGCTGTTCTGTTTCATGGATCTATTTGTTGATACCTGTTGCATCATCACATACCTTAATATCTGGTAAGGAACTCTTCTCTCATTTGTCTTCTTTTTCTAAATGTTCTTGGTTTTTCTCAGATATTTCTTCTTTCACATAAACCTTGGAATACTTACTATGGATTTATGTACACATATGTGGATTTTATAATGCAAGTTGGTCAGAACTGGCATTAAAACATCAAGACTTCCTTTCTAGGAGCATGACTTTCTGTGTTGTTGTTGTTGTTGAACTCTTTGGATTTTTCAGAAGTTTTGTAGTTTTTCTTCATACATGTTTTTGTGTCAGATACTTTGCCCTGCAGGTCCATGCTCCACCCTTCTATACCCTGTCTGTCCCAGGGAGCCTGCCTGGCTAGCCAGCATCATGGCTGCCTTTGCCCTTTGGCTTCTAATTGAGTGTGGCCAACAGAGGCCCCTGAAGAGAGGAGTGGAGGACAATGATGTTGGGATGCCCTGAGCTGGCTGATCCCTCCACTGAATGCCCAGACCTTTTCAAGATGGCTTTTCCTTGATGCTCTCTTTTTGGATTCTGGTCCTCTTCCAATGCCACCTATCTAGGGTGATAACAATTTGCAGTTGCTGCCACTCTATCTCTGCTAATTTCCTTACATCCTGCCCCATCGTTGTAAATATTCCCTTTGTTAAACCCACCTCCAGATAGCCCAATTTGCACATTTCATCTGTTTCCTCCTGAGACCCTGACCCAGTAAAAACCTGGACATATATTATTTGTTCTACACATCTTATGATTTTTCTTGGTATTGTAAATAGACACTTTTTCTCATACTTTTTAAAGGTTTCTTTTAGTATATAGGAAAACCACTAATTTTTTTATTTTTGACTTTGTATTCAATCACCTTTCTGAAGTTTCTTACTAGCTCTGAGAGTTTTTCATTTGATTCTTTTTCCTGGCACAGCATCACTTCCACCATATTCTATTCATCAGAACAGTTAAAGAGCATGTTCCGATTCACAGGACGGAGAAGTGGGCTCCACATCTTAATGGGGATGTGGCAAGGGCATTTTGCAGAAGAGCATGTGGGATGGGGGTTATTGTCCTGGTAGCTGTCTTTGGATTCTTTGGAAAATAGAAACTGCCATGCCTTCCTTTTTAATATTTATACCTTATATCTTTTTCAATTTTATTGTTTGAATAAAAGAACATTGAATCATAGTGTTAATAATGGCTACTTTTGTGGTGTTCTTGATTTTAATGGGAAGATTCTATATTTTCCTTCATTTAGCGTAATATTTACTGTAGGTTTCTGGGAGATATCCTTTATCAAGTGAAGGAAGTTTCCTTCTGTTATTAGTTTACCCAAAATTTTTATTATGAATGTGTGTTGAATTTTATCACAAGTATTTTTGTCATTTATTGAAATGTTCATATGGCTCTATTCCTTTAATATCTTATACACTATCCTCTTTCTTGGATTCATTTCTCTTTTTCATTCAGTATATGTTTGAGTTATTCTTTAGAGAAGGTGGTGGGTGGTGAGGTCTCTGAGTCCATACCTATGCGAGAAGTTTTCATTTTATCCTCGTACTTGTATCTCATTTGGCTGTGTATGAGATGCTTATTCAAATTATTTTCCCTGAATGCTGGTTTTCACTCTCATTGTCTTTCAGTATCCAGTGTCACTGATAAAATATAATCTGATGGCAGCCAGATTCTTGATCCTTTATAAATAAATGTGTTTGTTTGCTCTCTCTCTAGAATTAAATTTTCTTTTTATCTCTGAAATTCTGAAATTTTACAAACGTGAATCTCATTCCTCTGTTGTGAAAAATGTTCTCCTTTGGTTTCATTAATAATTTCTTCTCCTCTGTTTTCTCCATTTACATCCTGTTAAATTTTTTTCAGATGGATATTGGATCTTTTGAATTGATCCTTCAGTGTCTCCCAACATATATGTATCATGTACTTCTTATTCATTGTTTTAGATTTTCTCTATTTTGTCTTCAGAATCCCTAATTCAGTCTTCAGCCATGTTTATTCTATTATCCAGGTCTTCTATTGGAATTTTTACTTCAGAGTTCATATATTTAACTTCCAAGTCCCTTCCTTGTTTTTTTATTGTTCTTTTATGGTAATAGCTTGCTTCTTATGTTTTATGCAAGATCCCTGTTGGCATCTTTGAGGACACTATGTAGAATTTTTTTCCAATTCTCTCCTGTTCCTTGAATAATCTGTTACCTCTGTAGTAAGTAGTATGTTTCTCCATTCTGGTCTTTTGCATTTCTCACTTTTCCTCAAAAGTCTGTCCATGCCATGAATGAAATATTGAATTTTCAGATCGGCGGCTAGCATGGGCATCCTGGACAGTTGTGCTTATGTGTTTCTCCACTGCATCTCTCATGTCACCCCTCTGTCTACCCATCCCTCTGTCTAATTGGGAGGGGGATATCCATTGTCTGGCTTCCTCTTTTGTGCCTGAATGTAATACCAGCAGGCCAGCAGGGACCCCCAAGTAGCCCAAGGTAAGAAGGTTTAACCTAGTGGTAGTTTCCTTCCGAGGAAAAACTGCCTCCAAGGTAAAACTGCATTACTGTTTTGCCCCCTTATATCTACATTATTTCAAAAATAATGTTTTCTTTTATTTTCTTTCCTTTTTTTTTTTTTTTTTGCCATTTTAAGGGATTTGGGATGGGAGGAAAATTCGATGCACATAGCCCATCTCCTGTTTTGAGCTAATAACCTCTGCTGGCTCTTTGCTTTTTGGTTTTTTTTTTTTTTTTTTTTTTCCTTTTTTTTTTTTTTTTTGCCATTTTAAGGGATTTGGGATGGGAGGAAAATTCGATGCACATAGCCCATCTCCTGTTTTGAGCTAATAACCTCTGCTGGCTCTTTGCTTTTTGGTTTTTTTTTTTTTTTTTTTTTTCCTTTTTTTTTTTTTTTTTGCCATTTTAAGGGATTTGGGATGGGAGGAAAATTCGATGCACATAGCCCATCTCCTGTTTTGAGCTAATAACCTCTGCTGGCTCTTTGCTTTTTGGTTTTTTTTTTTTTTTTTTTTTTCGTGACTGGTAACAACCCTCAGTGTGGTGTCACCCGCACCGCACTCAGCCAGTGAGCGCACCGGCCATTCCTATATAGGATCCGAACCCGCGGCGGGAGCATCGCTGCGCTCCCAGCGCTGCACTCTCCCGAGTGCGCCACGGGGTCGGCCCTGCTTTTTGTTTTTCAATGATTTCTTAGCCCTACATTTATTACTCATTTTATTTTATAATGAGGATGCCTCCTTGGTAATTAAAGAAAAGTCTTATAAAGGCCACTGCAGGGTCAATGCAGATTGAAAGGTTGCCAGAATTGCCCTAGGGTACCACCGCTGGCCTAGTTACCTCCAACCCTGTTTCTTCTGTACCCTGTGGCAAAAGCTGGAAAGACAAGGGACCTTGAGGGGCTTGGCCACAGACTTCACAGTTTTCATGAATTAGCTGGTGCCACCCTTGCTGATCATGGAATAAATCAAGTTCCTTGGATTCTCCAATTCCCTGTCTCAAAAGTGTGCTTTTAAAACAAATTTACTGTAGGAAACAAGAAGAAACGTGTCAGTGTTTTTCAGTCTGCATATGATTTGATTTTCCATACATTTTAGGTGTTTTTACTGCTCCTGTCATCAGAGAGAGTCATTTTGGATCGCTTCCCTCTGCCCTCAGCCCCGAACAGTGTGCACTACTGGGAGGTGAAGCAGTGCGCAATTAGCATAGATGAGCTCCTGATTCCCAATGTAGTGTGGGGACAAAGGTGGGGACCAGAACCAGGCCCATGGAAACAGGAGGAATGTGTCCAGTAGCTCCTTTTACATGTAAACACTCATCAGTCCTTTCGTTTACCTTACACTATGTAAAGACGTTGTGCATCGGGAGATAGAAAGTGTAAAGAATGCCCATAGATGAGCCCAAACTTACAGTTTTATTGTAGGCCAGCTCAGCCACCTGTGCCAATCAAAGTGTGTGACTTGGGGATGTTTCCGTTGACAGGTGCATAGTAGTAACACCAATCAGAGAATGCCAGCGGGTCTGTTTGCTCGACTGCATTACTGCATGTTCGATCACTTCTGCGTGCTGACAGCTCATGCTCATCTCACCCAGCATTTGCAAGGGGCTTCTGTGAAGCTGCTCGGCTGGTGGCAGAGTCTCAGGGCTTTCTGAGTGATCAGCAGCCATATGTGTAAGGGACAAATTGCAAAGCTGTGTAGCCATTCCCCAGAGACAGCCTTCAGAACAAGTAACTTCCAGGAAGCATAATTTCTAATTTAAAAAAAAGAGTTAATGATGAAGATGAGGCAGTAAATAATAGGAGAGAAAAGCACGTTTCTTACTATTGTGCCTAAAGTAATTTTAAAAGATTTTTATTGCAAAATGCATGCAGTTTTTAAAAAAACATTTGTTTAAACCATTCTCTCCCACCTCTTTCCTAGGATGTAGAGTACATACGATCCCATTACAACATCGAAGATTTCATCTACTTCAGTCACCACCAGCGCGAGGAACACTGTCGCCTGCATCACTTTGCCCTCAACCCCATTTTCCAGCACTACACCAAGTTCTTTCTGAAGGAGATCCTTCGTTTAGGATATAAATCCTGTCTCTACTTTCCTATTTACCCAAAATCCAGCGAAGGCAAGGTCAGAGGATGGAGTATGTAATTCACTTTGCCAACAGATCATGTTCACAGTGTCGTTCCCTTTGCCAACAGATCACATTCACAGTGTCGTTCTTATTGTGTGCCACATTTTATCCATTCCTCTTCTGAGGGGTCCTGATTATTACCTGGATCTGAATTTCCAATGGCCACATTGAATTTCCTGATTATTACCTGGATCTGAATTTCCAATGGCCGCATTGAATTTGACTCTTTTCTTACACTACAGTGAAAGTCCAGAAGGCTTTGAATTTCTGAAACAATCACAACCAATATAATTAGTAGAACCATTTGTTGGCTTTTCTATTTTGGCAAAACAGAGATGGAAAACTATGCAAAAATGCTCTAAGAGGCATGGAAATCAAATCATTTCTTATGGTGCATTAGTGCAATGCCAAAATGATGTTATCATCTCCTTCAAGCAAAGATCATTTTAGTGATGAATCTAGAAGAAATTAGTTCTATTCTATAGTATAGGTGTGTTACCACAGCATTCCAAGTAAGCACTATAACCACTCCCATAAAAGTGATGTGTAGAGAGCTATAATATCATCGTAAGCCTTATGTAGTAAATACCTATATAGCCCCGTGTAATGCTTGTTATGCTTATGTAGAGCAATACTATTGTAATAGACCTGGATCTAATGTGCATAGGTGACGTATACGTGCATGCACAAATAGGAAGCTCTTCATCTTTCTTCCATATATCCTGCTTTATTTTTCTTCATAGTACTTCTTACCAGCTAAGATTATACATTTTACCATGAAGACGGAGGTCTTTGTCTTCAAAGCTGAATTCCCAGTGCCTAGAAGAGTCACACATACACTCTCAGTATCCTGGTGGTTCCATAGGCAAGGGTCTGTTCAAGCTAAATTCTCAAGAGTTTGCTTCCTGCAAGTTGGTCCCTCAGTGGCTGACAGCATTGATCCTTAACTCGATGCAGACTTGAGGGGTGATGGGATTCAGCAGAAGTTGTCCCATCAGATTCCATTCATGACCTCAAACTGTCTCACGTTCTTCCTAGAGTCTTTGACATTGTGCCATTTCTTCTTAGTTACCATGAGGGAGCTAAGTAGATTTTAAAATAACAATAATTTTGCCAGCGTATCTTATTTAACAGAAGCCTTTTGGAGAACTACAAAGGGAATGGGGAAGAAATGATTAAAAAATTAAAAAAACCATGGAAAAGATTTTTAGTGAGTTGTATACTCTGCTCTAGTGATTATTTTTTCCTATCAAAATGGAGTGTGATAGCAATGCAAATGCCCTAGATTTAAACTTAATAAGATCGGAAGGTAATAGTTTTGCTGGAAAATTGTGGTCCTACACAATTCCCTTTTACTTTGCACTTGGCCAAATGGTAATTTTGTGACCTTCAGGATGTGATATTAAATTCTTGTTTTTATTCATGATGTTTGCCTGGATGTGCTGGGTTGGAGAAAGTCCATTTGCATTTGTAATTAGAAAATAATATCTAGGGCATTTCATTGAATGTTTTTATATTTACCTCAATGGCATAGAATTCAGAATATGTTGCACACTATTGTATATGGGCTATAGAAACACATTTGGAAACAGATTTCCTCTCAGTCTGTACTTTCAGATGATTTACACATATACATTTAAAACAACCATAAGAAGCAGTTCCAAATAATTTGGGTAAGAATTCTCAAATTCTGCTATAAATCCGCAGTTGACTGCAGTAAAGTTGAGCTTTCTGGCTCGTGCTATGAGAGTGGTTTACTCCACACCCACTTGCCTTGGGCAGTGTATTAAGAGATCTTCCAGGCATAAAAACAGAGCCCTGGCTAGGGATTCCTGGGTTCTGTTTTTCAGTTTGTAAGGTCAGTATGTGAAATTCAATGGGAAAGGATTTTAGAAAGACCTTTTAGAAGCTCTTAGAAATGCCTAGGGCTATTTTTAGAGTAGCAAATAAGTCATATGTAAACCGTCTATTAAGGTGCATCTACAGTCAGTTTTACTTTCTTTGCAGCTTAAATTCAATAAATATATCAACAGGTTTGGTTTCACAGTTAAACTCTTGAGATTTAAATAGTTAAACAATGCCATGAGTTGGTTTCACCAAAACCCCTAAGATTTCATAAATATGAAAGAAATAAAGATCACCATGTTCAGTTTTCTCTGCCAAGTTTTAAAAACTGGATAAAATTAATATTTAAAGCATTCTCCTAAAACACGGTTTATCATAGTTAATCAATAAACATAAATCCAGCTCATAATTTAGTATTGGAATGTCAAAATAATGTGACCTAATTCCCCCACCCCCACCCCCACTTATCAGTTTTATTCTTTGTTTTCAAATGCTTCTGTAATCAACAAAGGTCCGCTTAAACTCGCTGAGAGTGATTAACAGGAGGATTTTCACATCCGAGCTATGACATTTTCACATCCTCAGATGAGATTTCTATCTATGTGTCTTCTTAAAGCAGCTTCTGCCAAACACACAAAGGTTGACAGGAGGGAGATAAAACAGCTTAATGGGGTCAAATCAAGCTGATTCATGACCACCATGGAAAAGAATATTCCCCTGGGGAAAATACTTGTACTGAAAAATCCCATAAACCAAACCACTTGTTTATCTGTCATTCCCACAGAGACAGTAATGTAATTACTATAATTATCTTCATTAGTGTCAGGCATTATCTACAATTCATTCCTCTGCTTGAAGAGTATGTTCGTTTATTTGGTGATTTTTTTTCCCTCTCCAACTTGTATTTTATATTTGTAAAGCTGCACACAGACATCTGTGCTGCGCTGCTCTGACATTCTCTCCCCTAAAATATAGGTTGCTGTCTTTCATTTCCAGAACTCCTACACCTACTCCCTGACATCTGCCCTTCACTACTTGGTTCCCGTGCGACCACGACGACAGATTGTCTATCCTCTGGAAAAGCTTGGCATAAATGCTCCATCAAAGGCAGTCTGCAAAGATCAGGTGGGTAGCAGGGCGGCAGGCAGGGAGGCACGGTGCCAGCTCCCGCGGGCTCAGCAGATGGGGTGGCAGCACTGTCTTCACAGGAGCAGGCTGCTTCTTAATTACAGGGAACCTGGCGCTTATACCCTCACAAGCAGCGACCCACAAAGGCTCCACTGCAGCCCTTTCCCACAAGTGGTTATTTCATGGTAAGCCTAAAACAGCAGCCACTTGATCCCTCAGGGAGACCCCAGGGTGACACGTCACATGTGCTGCTGTGTCCCAGGACAAATCGCCTGGTCACCCACGAGCATATTTTTATCTTTCCCCTTCCTCAGAAGCAGATTCCCCCTTTCAATCGATGTTTTGCTTTCAAGGCAATAAGTGGTTGTTCACCGTTAGGACAGAGATGGCAGAGAAAATAGAGCTGGCTGCATTTGAGACGTTTGGGTCTGAGTCCTAAGCTGATTTGTTTAACTCCTCTGCAGCACCTTGGGATAATTAACAGGAATATATTAGTTGCCCTGGGGAGACAGGACTGTTTGACCTTAAAATGAACAGCCCTGGAACACTCTTATTACCTGAAAGAAAATGAGCCAAAACACCGGGTACCCTTCAGGCTTTATTAAAGGAGGAAAATACCTGCTGGGCTGCACTCAAAATAGTGGGGCAGGCAGCTAGGAGGAGAACATACGCTTATTTGGGTTGGTGGGCATGAAAAACTCAGGCAGGGACGGGGAGGGAGTGCTGGTGTGTGGGATCAGGTTGACTGTTGGTGCAGGTGTGGTGGGTAGGGGTGACATAGTCAAGATGGGAGGTACCTCTAGGCAGGAGGGGAAGGGTCCTTTGGGAAACCACGAGGTAGAGGGTTTTCTTTGAAGAAACCACATAGGGTAAAAGACTGACAGCCATTTTGTACTCAATATGGCGCCAGTCATGTCCATGATGATGTCAGTTGTATCCAAGGTGATGTGACCACATCCAAAATGGTGCCTGTTACATCTGTGATGACGTCAGTCATATCCAAGGTGATGTGACCATGGCCAAGATAGTGCTGGTTGCATCTGTGATGATGTCAGTGACAGGACTGCGTCCAAGATGGTGCCAGCCACATCCAAGATCTAGAATTCCTGCCTTTTAAGTATAAGAAAAGGGGAAAGGGGGCAAAGGTATCATTCTTCTGAAGCTACTTCCTGCTGAGAGTGGGTGAGGAGGAAAAATCTGGCCACACAAAAATGCCATCATCCTGCTGTAGGGTGAGATCTTCTAAAGGGAGAGGTTGATATTTATGTTCCATGAACAGTTGGTTTACCTTTTGGTTGGCGAAAGCCTGCATAGGGTCCTGCAAAAAATTTGAAAAACACCAGAAAAGACATGCCAAACAGTAGGAGAAGTCCCAGCATGGTAAGGAGTCCCAGTAAGCGCATCAGGCAAGGGGTCCATTTCCATAGCTCGCTCCACCCTTCCCAAGAATCGGTGGCAGCCTGTCTCCTTTTTGCCATTTGGTCACAGAGTTGTTGGACCATATTTCTAATGATGCCAGATTTCTTGGTATAAAAGCAGCATTCTTCTCCTAAGAATAGACCTCCCTTCTCTGCTGTTAACAGGTCTAGCCCTCACCTGGTCTGTAAGACAACTTCCGCAAGGGAATCTAATTGGTCTTGGAGGGCTATCACAGTTTGGGCTACCTGTTCAATTCCATCAGCTAGCTCTTGGGTTATTTTATGATAGTAAGTTGTTGAGGTAGCTATGCCTCCCACTCCTGTTCCCACTCCTGCCACTATGCCGAGCCCAAGGAGCAAGGAAATAACCTGAATAGCTCGTTTCACCCGAGTATGAGCCACCAGAGGGATCTCTAAAATTTGGTTGCCAGGGACAATGTTAATTTGGGGAACTAAGGCACAAGTTCCCATCCAGTTCTGGATTGGTAGGCATTGGTATGAAAATGGCCCACAAACAAAGTAGACCCCCATTCAGGAGCTACAGGTGATGTTTGTGTTGTCCCTCGGAATGGTCTGGTTGCAGTTTTTTACTGTGAAATTGCCCACTTCTATATTGCCAGTTAGATTTGTTAGACAATACCCTGCTGGCTGAGTTAAAGTGATGTGAGTGGCCACCACCCCCAAGAGGACTGAGGTATGATTGTCTATAGACCAATTAGACAGATTGAAGTTTGACAGGAGTGTAGCCTGGTTTTGGGGAAGGGTCAATCACAGGCAGAGCGAGCACCCCCCTGCTAATGAGGGGGACGTATATTAAGCAAATGGTGGGTGACATTGAGGAGCTGTATAACTTCGGGGTCTATATGGAATGGACGTCGGGGTCGAGGGAGCCAGAGGGGATGTCGGCTTGGCCGGGTGGGAGTAAGAGTTTTAATGCCTTGTTTAATTTGTTTTTGATGTGTTTCATCCTGGAGCCCTCCCCCATCGCTATAACCTAGGTGTGTAGTTTTAGTGAAGCACACGTATTTGCATCTTGGAGGGCACTGGGCACCAGCAGAATCCTCCTTGGAAAGAACCATCCATTAGTTTATTTTCTCATGGGAACATGATATAGCTGTGGACCTATCACAGCAGGGGGCCAGAAGATATGTTATAGCTGTGAAACTAGTTTTGACAGTCCCATGCCCAAGTCTAGCCAGTGCCTGTGTGCCAATCGTCCACCCTGACCTGAAGATTCTGACCTGTGTGCGTGGTGAAACAGATACCTGTGCTAGTGGCAAGACCTGCATAAACAGAAGGAGGAAAAATGTGAGGGCGGGGGAGGGGGGACAGCTGAGAGAACACATAATAGAAAAAAAGAGTAGAGGGCAAATTCATGGGGGGTGTAATCGCAGAGGACGCCCTGCCAGGCTAGCTCAGTCACCCACTCAAGGATGTTATCCATGTCAAAGGAGGCAGGCTGGGATCCGTCTCGGATTAGATCCTGAATAAACAATGTGAAGCGGGCCTGTAAGAGTGAAAGGATAACAGCCAAGGGAAATATCATCTCTTTTGGGATTGGGGCAGAAAGAGTTAATTTAAAAGATATGTTGACTCAGCGAGATTGTGAAGAAACATCCTACTGACAGGAGGTATAGGAGTGCCAGGAGAATTTTTTCTATGGTGC